TCGAAAACCAGATGAAATAATCCGTTGGACCATAATATCACTTCCAACGGATTATCCGCCCGGAATTTCGCAACGAATTTTTATTTTCCGTCGGGCCAACTTCCGGGAGCCATAAGAGTCAGCCTAAGAAAAAAATGAATTATTAAGAGTTGTGTGATACTAAGAAAAAAAAAGAGGTGGGTAATAACATCGGCATATGCGAGCAGGACGAACAAATCAAAGGGAGAGAACAAAAGTGGTCCAGGCAGGCTCCCGACGTCACCCGACATCGCAGGTCGAGGTCCTCACCTTCAACTTTCTCTTCACACTCTGAAGGCGCCTACCACAGATTGCCCGCCGGAGATGCGCGGGGCGAGCAGCGGGCGCCAAACGATGAACGGAGGTGAGAGCCACACGCGCGCTGTACTGCTGCAGGAAGAGGAGAATAGAGCATTTTTGAAAACGAACAACAGCAGTAGAGTGTGGAATAACGGCACCCGAGGCCGGGGGGTATAGAAAATATTAGTAGTAGATGCACTGGAGACAGAAAGAGGTCGGGACAGAGATGAGGGGGTACGAGGGTAGATGGTGGCCAAAAGGGGATATGCAAGCGAGACTCAGTCTCCCGTTGCACACGCCAGAGGTGGAACTTCGTGCGCGCAGCAGCATCCATCGATTGGCGCGGCAGCAGCAGCAACAACATCCACTTTGCCTTTTCCCTTTCTCTCCGCTTGGACAGTCACCAAGGGTTCTAACAGCAGCACCACCGACCTCGGTGGCACCGGAAGTACCATGGGTGGTGGCACCGCAAGCAAGGCATCGTCCCCTTCGACCTCCAGCAGCAATGCAGGGGTGTCCAAAACGGTGAAGGCGGGGCTGCTCATCGTCCTGTGCCTGCAGAACGCCGTGTACACGATGCACCGGAGATACAGGTGTTGTTGTTGTTGTTGTTGTTGTTGTTGTTGTTGTTGTTGTTGTTGTTTTTCTTCGCGTCAGTTTGCTAATCCCAAAATCTAGCAAAAGACTCGGTCGGTGTGATCGAATTTGAGAGGCGCCGACGAGATTTGATTTTTGACCCCCGAGCAGCCAGACGAGAACGTTTTCTCCCATGCACAGCAGGAGTGACAAACAAAAAGCATCCGCATGGGGGCGGCATGCATGTCCTTCCGCACCCATAGCAGAGCTCGCACGAGCTGCGATAGGTTGCAACAGCAGTCAGTCCGGCTTGACGATGAGGACCCAAAAGTAGGAAGTCGTCACGCTGCACCCGGCACCCACGCCAGTTTTCGCCTCTGGGATGCTAGTGACTGTTATTCCAATCTGGTTCGGGTTCCGGTGGAGTTCGCATTTCGCCACTCCGCGCACATGTGCCGGTAACAGCATGTCGTTGTTCAGAAGAGGACAGATGCATGCCACGTCCCTTCCATGGGTGTATGCAGCACACACCGTCCGCTCGGTGTTTGGCATATATGTATGCACATCCACCGGAATTCCAGCGATGGCCACATATTCGATGAATGATGCTTTTTTGCTTTCGATCGAGCACGACACAAATCCACTCGCAAGTTCTCTCTCAGGGGTTTACCCCCCTGGCGTACTTCTGACCCGGGGCATACGTAAATGCCCCGCAGCAGTTGAGAGCTATTAAGAGGCGAGGGCATGACATACAGCGGTGACTCTTGGAACTGGAAGGCGAGGAGGAAGACGGGCTATTTAGACATAAGCTGCATGTCCGTCACATGAATTCACGATTCTCGGTCTTTTTTTGTTCTGTGCGGAGTAATACCCGTGGATAGCAGGGATTACCTTCCAGGTTCCCCGTGTAAGTGACTACAGCAGTAGTTTGATGGAAGTACATATATATCGTACAGGAGCAGGAGAGAGAATGCAGAGGCTATCAGAGGGCCCTCTCCACGAGTTTCAGTTGCTCCACGGAGGTGTTGCAACCAAGGGTGTGCTTTTGTTACATTCAGTGGGCGGTCCAAAGCACTCGTCATATGTGGAAGATCGAATTTGATTGGCTGGATCTTGATGCTGCGGTGAAAATGTTCCGGATTACAAGGGGTGTAGAAGTGCCTCAGGCGAGCTCGGCTCATGGGCCACTAACCATGGTGTTTTCGAAGATTGTTGTTGTTGTTGTTGTTGTTGACTTCACATTAAACCGTATGCCAGTTGCTAAATGCCAAAATCTAGCAAAGACTCTCAGCCCGTGGTCACGAAAGTGCTAGAGTCATCTGAGGATCTGAAGAACACGCACACGTAGCAAGAAAAAGGTATCCAAGAGCCCGAAGAGGTACTACTACACCTATATATAATCCCTGCAGCACCGTACGCGTGCCCAAAACTGAACTACACGTCCGTCTCACCGTTCGACTACAGCAACATCACCCCCTACCTGTCCCACTCTGTACCAAAACGAATGATTGCCGACTACAGCATACTTGCTGTCTGAAGTGCTGTCTGTACAAAAACACCATGGTAGGCATGGAACAAGAAGCTGGCGGGGCACAAA